ATGGATAGTGGAGCGAGGAATTGGAGTCATAGGAGAAGTTAGGGATGAAGAGACGGAGGGGTTAGAAGATAGAGGGACGTATGGGGACGCGGAAGATGGAGAGGAGATTGTGATGGAGAGGGGAAGAGCGAATGTAATGTTCTGGATATATTCTAATTGAAATTAAGAAAAAGAGATAGCTCGCACTGATCTCCTCCTGCAGGTCACTCCAGCGCTGAAGGGCTCTGACTGCAAAGTCCTGGCCTTACTGACAAACATACCAGGTTCTCAAGCTGCACTCATTCAAAGCTCAAAAGTCGCCCAATGGAGCAACTGAGAAATCAGACAGAGAGATCAGTACCTTCAAAAGAGTATAAGGCACACAACACTGCTGTAAAACCAAGGCAATGAAAACATATACTTGTGGTCTTCAGAGAGTATAAATCCAGGTTTTAACCACTATGTCGTGGTTACATAAAAACGTCTTTAACTGGAGGGCAAAGAGATATTACAAAAACAAAACACTACCCACGCCTTTGTAGCTCACACTTTACTCAGAGAGTCACAGGTGAGTCGCACTAAAAACAGTGATAGGGTTTCAATTCAGTTATTGTCAATATGATGTCTTATGACTTGTTATGGCAGTGCTAGCAGTGTTAAAAGATGGCTGGATGGAGAGAAAAAGACAAAGAAGCGGGGTGGGCTAATGCTAGCAGAGCCCATGAAGATGTGATGAATCAGATGTCATTAAATGCTGAGAAATTAGCCTTCTGCACTGTGTGAGTGTGTGCGTGTGCGTGCATGTATGTGTGTGTGTGTGTGTGTGTGTGAGAGAGAGAAAGAGAGAGTGGTGATTCATGGTGCACAAGGAGGCAGAGCAGCAAAACACAGCTGATGTGATATGAATCAACAACCATGGTCAATGCTCTTACTGCTTTCAATAAACGGGTCGGGGCAAAGCTTGTGTGTCTGTCTGTGTGTGCACGTTCATGTGTGTGTGTGTGTCAATATGTGTGTTGTCTGCCTTCATTTTATCCTCCAGGCCCTCTGGCACATGCTATACTTAACATTTTCCAAATTCACTTTTGATACGGACATTGTTGTTCCGGTTTATTCAGCCACTGTTTCTCCAGGCAGATCGTTTCTTTCGGTCAGTACTGTTTATTGTTGTGGTGTCATTTCTTTTTATATTGCTTTATGATACGAGATTTTCATTATCTCTAATTCTTGCTGCCTTATGCCCAGGGCTGTAAAGTTCTAATCCTTAAGATTCCAGCCCTGGTTGATTTGGCACCAGTGGTGGATCCTGGCAATATTCAAGTTTCTTGTTTTCTTGTGATTACTTGGATGCATTTAATGTGAAACATCAAATAATGTTGGATTTGCTTTAGCAGTAACTTGCAGCCCACATGGCGTTATGAGAGTGACAGTAATACTGGATTGCATGCATTTTTTTCCGTGTCACAGCGATTTGAATTCAGTGCTGCGACAGCTGACTCCGCCACTAACAATCAAAACTACTATATAGAAAGATCATTTACAGAATGTTAATACATTGAATGCTATTGCTGAAGAAACAATGGCCATAAATGATACACATTTTTTAAAATCTTTTATCTTCAAACATTATGGCATCCTGCTCTGACAGTAACAGTCTCTTCTCTTCATCTCTTCATTTTGCTCATTATCGCCTGGTTATATCGATGTCTGCCAGCCTTTCGCCTTACGAAGATGCTGTAAACATGCATCATCAAATGATCTGCCTCGATACTCACACATGTATTCACACTGTGAACACCTGTTGGCTTGATTGAAAGCAGAACATTTTCACAGGTGCGTGTTTATGCGAGTGTGTCAGTGCATTGTGCATTGTGTCATAGTTTGGGTTTATTAAGACCAAGACAATAAAGATTGAATCTGCTGTGCATATTTTTTTTTCAAACTATTGATACGTCACTGAAACCAAACATCGAAGTGTGCAACTTCCTGAGATTGTATAGATTAACAAGATCCATTTTTTCTATCTTCTTCAAGTGTTAAAGTCCCACTTAACTTCATGACAATGAATCATTGCAGCACCTTCTGCATAGCTCTTATCGATCCTTTATTTTTTCACAGCAAAGCTGGCACTTTTTCAGGTAATATTCTGCAACTTTTCTTTTTTTTTTTATTGATTTGCTCTTTCTGTCATGCAGCCTTGCACATTTATATTACAGGGTAGCACTTAAGTCAGGTCAGAAAATGAAAGACCGCCCTGACTCGGCTTAAGAAAGGATAATAGACTTTTTTTTTTTTAACACAAATGTATCTATGGAATATAGACACATTTATAAATACCATGACACAAAAATTAGCTTTTAAATCTGAAATTAAGCCTAGGCTGCATGTTTAACCAGAGCCTTTTAATTCTGCATTTTGCCACTTGTATTTGCATATTAACAGTCATCCTCTCATCTAATTACTTTCTGTCACTATCCAGTTTGGGTTAAATTCTATAAAAAAGAAGTGCACACCTCCCTTTCCATTAGCAACCCGTAATCCTTTACTATGTCAAATGTAGATATTGTGGACTAAAAATGGAACCGATTTGTTTACGGATGAGGACGACATAAAAGACATGATGAGGTTGGACGGAGAGGAGGTGTGAAAGAGAGAGCGAGCAGCAGCATGGTATATGGAGAGGTGCTTGAGACGTGAAGTGGTGAGTGTGTGTGTGTGTAGGCGGAGAGAGAGACGGAGGACGGAAGGACATTAACTTACGTAGATACACAGAAAGGAGTTGAGTGAGCCTGATGGAAGAGGGAGGTGGAGATGGACAAGATGTGAGGGGGAAGAAAATATGAGATTCAATGAAGCAGGTAAAAGGCAGAGAGAGGAGAGTAAGAAGGCTGAGTGATACTGGTGAATTACGTCTGCAGAAAAGGGAGAGCGAAGTCCTTTTGGGGGCGTTTTGAGCATCATCAATGTCTCAGAGTTGGGTTTGTACCGTGGAGTGAGGATGGACCTCAACTCAACTTATGGCTCTTGAGTTATATTGCGTGTAATGTAGGCGCCAGTTTGTTTTTTTTATGAAGAAGAAGAATGCATGGAATACTATAAACAATAGTTCTGATTTTGATACTTTTTCTTTTGCTCTTCGTGAGTCTGACAACGTTACAGGAGTGCAATGCTAAATCAACGGAGTACTCTCCCAACGCGACACCTGCAGAACTACATAATCACTCTTAAGATAAACTTACAGCAGTCTGTGATGCAGGAGTGAAGTCCATTTTTTTGACCGAGCAGAAAGAAAGACCAAAGGGAAGACAGAAGAAAGGAGGGTGTGTGGGGGGGGGTTGGGGGGTTAGTAGCGGGGATAGATGGCAGAGGAGAGAAGCGAGTCGAGTATTGAAGTGACAGGATGTTGTCAGAGCAGCGAGACCCTGGAAGATAAATGAAGATGGGGTCAGCAACTCCCCGCTAATGTCAACACAGATGACTAACTGTAGTCGTGTGTGTGTGTGTGGGCGTGCATGTGTTTGTGCGAAGACGGAGTCAGCAATTTTTAACCCAAGGCTGACTAACCGTGTGTGTGTGTGTGTGTGTGTGTGTGTGTGTGTGTGTGTGTGTGTGTGTGTGTGTGAGAGAGAGAATATACGAGTACGAGGTCAGCAACTTTAGCACTACATGACTGACACCGTTTGTGTTTGTATCTGCACTTCCTCTCTTTATATATGTTTTCCTGATGTGACCCAGCAGTTTCTCATTCTTTCTTTTTTGGGGAGGTTATGCCCTGAACATAACCTGTCGGGCAGCACTTCCTCCATTGCTTTAAGATTGAAAGAGTTCCCAAATTGAATTGATTTCTTGGACACTTACAACAAGCTGTAAACACACTAATGACACATTATGACCTTATAAAGTTGTTACAACAAAGCTGTTGGCAAAAGTTGCCTATTTAAACATCCAGCAGACACGGAGCAACATTATATGGTGCTCGGTTAGGGACCATATGTACTCTACCTTTCATAATGCATTATGGGATACTTTGAGTCCACTTTATAGGGTATAATAAATGTCACTATACATTCGTATAGCACTGCAACATGAAACTCACTATATAGGGGACTAGGGAGTAGGGAGTGAAATCTTTTTGGTTTATGTGAATACTTATTGCCACTGGAGTTTATAGAGATTGGTGTCGTGGTGGGAGTGTCTCCCCTGAATTGTGAAAGCAAACCTTTACCTTTGCCTGGATTCTATCAGCCCACTGACATCTTTACGTTGGTTATCTGTAATCACAATTGATTTTTAGAGTTTGCTGTTCACATTTAAGGGATGAGAGATTTCTATCACAGAGTCTAAATTAAAAACAAGCTCATAGTTCTGAAGTCCACATTTCAAATATAGTACTGTGTGTCCCCTGTCTGCTCTGGTGCAGCTAAAAAGAGGTTCCTATTGACTGTTCTGCAGTCCAGATTAAAAACAAGAGGCGATTGATTTTTTTTTCTTCTTCATCTTGGCTCCTCTAGGACCTCAAGCCGGCTACATCTACTTCAGCTTTTTATAGACTTTATTATTTTAACTTTATTAAAGATGCTGGCTACAAGTGTGTTGTCATTTACAGCATTTCTTCACACTTTTCTTTATTAGCTTTGTTTTTTATGCGCTGTAATGACCTTTCATCATTGCTTTTATTGCTTCTTGGTAATCACCTGAAAGCACTTTGCAAACACCTCTTATTGAGTTCTATTAAAAAAGAAGAATGTTGTTATTGTTATTTTAATTCTCATTAAATACAGGGTTTTTCTGAAAGGCCACTTAAGCTGCAGACACTTTAGCTCACCCTGTGCTATTAACCTCACTTTAACCACTTTCTCTATGCATTAATTAAAGGCAATCGAGTTGATTTAAAAGCAGCAGAAGGTGGTTTTAATGCGAATTCAATGAAACCAACAGGAAAACAGTGAGTTCACTCAGCAGTGTGATTGAAAGGTTGAATAACGACTCCCCTTCTGTCTCTTTTCTCTGTCTATCTCAAGGATTTGGACGTCACGACGAGCTGCCTCAACAGTAGAAGTCTGTAGAGTCCAGCGAAGGCCCGACTGCCTCAGCAGCAATGGCTCCAGCAGCCGTGTCTGTGCATCCATCCTCTCTCCCCTCCCGCCTCTCCTCGCCCCTCCTCCTCTTCCTCCTCTCCGCCTTCCTCCTCCTGTCATGTCCTGGATCGGTGCATGCAGGTTCATCTGAGAACTGTTCAGCGAGTGGAGACCCCTGTCAGGAAGGTGGGTTGGCCTTATCTGTGAGAAAACTGCAGTCTAATGCATGTAAGGATGGATTAACATTACATGTGAAAGATGTCTGACCTTAACTCAGCAGCTTATTGAGAGGGGTTAACTAGGGGAAAGACTCTAGTGCCAGCCATGTAAGCTAATGATGTCACCAGCCTTTGTCACAGCTGAACATAATGATGGTTTAGATCAGTAAAGTTCACCAGTGATACCCAACGGTTTTCCTGTGGTGAATTACTGTAACATTTTAAAATGTAAATTTTGTTCATATTTTGAGGTCACCTGTTGGCTTTACTTCATAGTGTATTGTATATTTCTCAGTACCAGTATATTGGTTTAAGGAATCCTTCATTTCCAAAATAGCCTATAAATAACCTCCCAGCACTTATTGCAGTATATCTTAGTCATTCTGTGCGACCTGTCCAGAGGCTCCGCAAATAACAGGAAAGAGATATATTTGCCAGGTGTTAATGCATATTCAACGTTGAACAATGTCAGCAGAATATTCACAACTCACCCACGCAAGGAACGCCTCACCATACAAAGGTGACAGTGTTTCTTTGCCTCCTGAGCAACTGGTGAGTTATCAGCTGATTCTGCCAGTGCACTGCCTTGGATTCATTTCAATACTTTTTATTATGGAAAAGCTCCCACATATTATAACCCTTAATCAGGTTGTGCTGCCACTGATCATTTTACAAAATTCCCTCAGCGGCAGGCAGTAAATGATTAGAGAGGGAGAGAATATTAAGGTTAGCACACCACATAGTTGCAAGCAGATATCTCTTGTGATCCTTTTGCTGCAAAACTCCTGAAAAACTCAGTTTGACTCTTTTTTTCCTCATTTCAGGAGTGGTACTGCCCGTGTGGAACCCTCAGAACCCCTCTGTAGGCGACAAAGTGGCACGGGCCATTGTTTACTTCGTAGCAATGATCTATATGTTCCTGGGCATGAGCATTGTTGCGGACCGATTCATGTCTTCTATAGAGGTAGGCAAGAGATGAATAACCACACAACTTATTTTACAGTTGAGATGTTCCATTGTTTCGGCTCCTGACTTCATGTTGGATTAATGCAGTTATATATCATGTCAGTTATCGCCTGTCATCATTAGCTTGGAGAAATACAATGGATATAATTGAATATGACTCATGTTTGACAGCTCTGTGGTTAAATACTGAAATTGCTTATTCCTTTCCTTTCCTTGCTTTTCCTCATCACTTTTCTCTCTTTTCCTTTTGGTGCTTCCCCGACTCTTCTTTCCTTTTTCCTCTGCTTTTCCTATTTCCTTTAATTTCCCTTCGGTGGCTCTTCTACTCTTCTTTCCTTTCCTTTTTGTTGCTTTTCTTTTTGCCTTTGCTGTCCTTTCCATTTGGTGCACCCTCTACTTTGGTTGCCTATGCTCCTCTTCTCCTGTCCTCTCCTCTCCAGGTCATTACCTCCCAGGAGAAGGAAATCACTATAAAGAGGCCGAATGGTGAGACCACCACCGCCACGGTCAGGATCTGGAATGAGACCGTTTCTAATCTCACTTTAATGGCCTTGGGTTCTAGCGCCCCAGAGATACTGCTGTCAGTTATTGAGGTGAGCACAATATAAGCCAGATGTTTGGGTTACACATTAGATTAACCAATACAGAATGTAATGGGAACACAGTCATCTGATTTTCTCCCCACCTATAGGTGTGTGGTCACAATTTTGAGGCTGGCTCTCTGGGTCCCAGCACCATCGTGGGCAGTGCTGCCTTCAACATGTTCGTCATCATCTCCCTGTGTGTGTACGTGGTTCCTGATGGAGAGACGCGCAAAATCAAACACCTTCGGGTGTTCTTCGTCACAGCAGCCTGGAGTATCTTCGCCTACATCTGGCTTTACCTGATTCTGAGTGTCTTTTCCCCTGGAGAGGTGGAGGTGAGAATAGACGGGAATGAAAGTTGTGAAAGTTCGGGGAAAAAAAGAGAAAGTTGGGTAGGGAGCTGTTAACTCTGTCTCTTCTCTCCTCTAGGTATGGGAGGCTGTGCTGACCTTCCTCTTCTTCCCGCTCTGCGTGGTCCAGGCCTGGGTGGCCGACCGTCGCCTCCTCTTCTACAAGTACGTCCGCAAGCGCTACCGCGCTGACAAGCGCCGCGGCATCATCATTGAAACCGAGGGAGGGCCGGATGGAGGAATGGGGATGGCTGGAGGTGGAGCGCTGGGCCCGGGGGGCTTCACCAAGATGGACATGCTGGAGCTGGATGGACAGATGGCATTGAACAGTCACAGCGGGATGGATGATGGAGGGATGATGGAGGACGGAGGAATGAAAGATGAGGAGGACGTGGCCAGAAGGGACATGGCGAGGACGCTGAAGGATCTGAAGCAAAGGCACCCGGATAAAGACACGGAGCAGCTGATTGAGATGGCAAATTATCAGGTTAGCAGGAGTGTGCTTATATGTGTGCATCAATTTCTTAATAAGGGGAATATATTTTAAAGGGATCGTTAGACATTTTGGGAAGTATATTTTTTTTGTCAAGAGTCGTTGAAATTATCGATACCACTCTCATGTTTGTGGGATAAGTATGAACTTAGGACTGGGTGTCGATTAGCTTAGCTTAGCATAAAGACTGGAAGCAGGGGGAAACAGCTAGCCTGGCTTTGTCCAATGTTCAAAACTGACTAATTAAGATGTCTGTGTGCAAACAGAAACCTATTGGTTTTAATACAAATTTTATGAAATGTGTGGTTTTATGGCAAGTTGCATGCCATTTAATAACAAACTGCAGCCAAGCACAGTGACTTCCTGGTGTTGCCATTTTCCGCCAAAAAATGACCAGCGTTCTCACTCTAAAGCCACAACATGTCTGTTTGTCAGTTGCTATGGATTATACACATGCGATATGTGTTCATAACTGAACTTTAGAGGTGCTAGCAGATATATTTTTGGGCATTTGGAGGGAGACAAGCTAACTGTTTCCCCTGGCTTCCAGTTTTTATGCAAAGCTAAGCTAATGGCTTTCTGGCTCTAGCTTCACACTTCTGTCAATCTTCTTATGTACCAAAATGTCAAGCAACTCCAAGACATACACATACATTACATTTTAGTCAAGAATTTAATAAATTTGAATGTTGTGTCCACCTGTATGAATATGACTGGATGCTACTAGCTGCTAATTATTAAGGCACTTCTAACTTGATCGCCTTATCTCCACTCCATCTCGATGTTGCTCCGTCTTCACTCAGTATCTGAGCTAACTCTCTTTTTACACCGAGCAATAAATTAAAACATAAAGTCATGCATCCTATTTCGTATGCGACTCCTCTGAGGGTGACTTTGTGCTGGAGATGATGCTGTGACACATTCAGATGTGAACAAGGTGTTTAGGTGATAACAGCGACAGCACACAGCTGTTATACAGAGACGATTTCAAAATGTTCCAGAGCAACTTCTGCGCGGTTTAGATACCACACAGTCTCTCTCACACGCATAAGCATAGAAGATACGATACTCAGTTTTCTAGGACGCTCCTCATTTCATGTTATGTGCTGATGAAACCACTAGTGGGCAGAAAGGATTGGCTTGATTGACAGCACTGTAACATGCAGCCCCTCTGACATCCAGGGGATTTTTTGCCCGGTAAGTTGTATGAACATTAGATATGTTAGCGTGAAGGTTCATTCTTGGACTTGGAAAGCCGTAGCTTGACGAAAAAATTTGTAACACAAGGTCCACTTGTTAGCTTTCCTTCTGAGTTTACAGCCACATCTCATTGAGTTCATGTGTTAAAGAAGACTGTGAGTAAAGAAGGTTAAACAAAAAAAAAGCAGCCAAGGGGACCTTGAGTTAAGATTTTTGGGGGAGTTTAGATTTACAATTTGTGAATTGATATTTATAAGCCATTAAAACATATTGCTTTGTCCTAAATTTAACTTTTGGTTAAATTTGGCATTAGTTTAGTTGAGTTTGGATTGTCAGTGTGTCCCACAGGGATTAATCGACTAGTCGGTTAATCTGTTCTCATCCCTTACAAAAAGAAAGGAGCTGCTTATAGATGGCTGTTCTACCTAAAGTTGCTTAAAAACATTAAAGATTATTCCTGTTTTTACCTCCGGTTTCATCCTTTAATGCTGAACTGTAGAAGCTGTCCAGGTTTCTGCTGCTCTCCCTTTCTCGGCTTTCTCCTCTTCCTTCCCTTGCCTCCCCTCTAAGTCATTTCTTGGTTTTGGTCATTTATTTTTGGTGATGAGGGAAGGAAGGTAAGATGTTTGGCAGGCACCCCAAGGTGCATTGGGCAACTTCCAGATGTTTGTTTGCATACAAGCCACCCTCCCCCTGCAGCTACTCCCTCAGCCTTGTGCTGTAAATAGAAATGGCAGCTGCCTTGGAGATTTATCTCAACCCAATAGATTAACGTTTTTTGTGGTCATTGTGAAGAATTCAATTAAATTAAATAGCAGTCCCCCGTGGTGGATTTGGACTTTAATTAAGTGAGGCCAGCTTGATCAGCAAAACCAGATCACATTTTTAACTAAACTAACCGCTACTGCTTCAATTCCTGTAAATGCAGATTTTCTTTTATTTTAAGGATTCTCGCTTCCCTTTAATCAAAAATAAATCGCAGTGTTCCCAGCTATGAACCCACATTTAATCTAATGGTCTCCAAATCTACAGTGGCTAATTTGTTCATTTCCTATTTGTTGGATCGTTAGGATCCTAAATTGCTATTCAGCCATACATTGTCATTGAAATCAGCTGCTCATTGATAAGCTCATTAGATCTTAAGTTTGCCGCTAAGAGAGCCTGCAACTGCAGTCCTGTTCATTTCAGAGTTTCAGAGGTTAAAAGTTAAGGGAACTGGATGACTACAATGTCAAATCTTTCCTTGTCAGCGTGATTTCACTCATGTACTCATTTATTTTGACTGATCTGGCAATAAGCACAGACAGTTACAACTTTTTAAATCATGGTTGAAGCTCCAGCGTCACAAACCCCAGAGATATAGACCTGCATACTGCAAGTGCAGGATCTGGGTGTAGACCGACCTCAAGCATCTAGCCTATCGAAGTGTTGTCAAGCAACTCAGTGACCTCTAGTCTTCCTGTAAAGACAGAGAAAGAAATCCCCCACGAGAGATTCACTGCTCAGCCTTTAAATAGCAGCTGTCAGTTTGAAAGTAGAAACTTTTGTAAAAGAAACACCAATCTGGAAAAAAAAGAAAGAGTCATAGATTACCATGATGAATACAATAGATGACTTTGCTGATTGATTGGTTTTGTTGATCAGGTCCTGATGCAGCAGCAGAAGAGCAGAGCGTTCTACCGTATCCAGGCAACCAGGATGATGATCGGAGCCGGCAACATCCTCAAGAAGCACGCTGCCGACCAGGCTCGCAAGGTGAGTCGCACATCATCTCCACTCGTCACCGTTATTCAAAATTAGAAAACTCCGATCTGACTTTTTTTGCTGTCTGTCTGTCTTTTCTTCTTTTTTTTCCAGGTGGTGAGCAGCCATGAGATCCATGCACAGGAGGACGACCCTCACACCATCAGGATGGAGTTTGACCCCTTTTTGTACCAGTGCTTTGAAAACTGTGGCTCCCTGAAACTGACAGTTGCCAGACGTGGAGGAGACTCCGGAGTTACTGTCAAGGTGTGTGTGTGGCATTAATGCAAGAGAGTGGAGTTCAGAAGAATATAAAAAAGTGTGTTTTGTTTGTGTGTGAGGGAGAGGAGCCAAAAGCAAACAGCACAGTAAACACAAAAATCGACTCTGAACTGATTTCACTCACATCTTTGGCAGTTTTCCTGGTCTTGATCTGATCTTAATCATAACATGTCGTCACCTCTAGAGAGCTTCCTTGTTCTCTTCTCTGGTCGGATGCTGCTACAGCTATAGAAGCGGATGATGAAGGAGAGCTGGGAAACAAAATACAAAACCTTTTATTCTATTCAGATCTTTTGATTTCAGCTCAAAACACATCCTCTGGCAAAGGCTCATTGAGTTTGGGTTTAACGCTGGCCTCATACTCTGATTAAGAGATTTTCTTTAAAGTCTCCCACAGGGGGTCTGTGTCAGTGACATGATACGGGATCTGCTCACTATTACTACAGGGGCTTGGCTCGACTGCGTCTCCCCTGATCTTCTCCCTGTATACAAATGAAACTATGATGCAACATCAGTGCTGTCTGTAGAGGAAGTCTTACGGCATGGCCTCAGTCCGCCGTCTACTGAGAGCTGAGGATGTTAAGTGAAGTGGCCTTTTAAGCCCACACACATTATTACCTCCACCAAACAGGGTTTCTCTATGAGGCTACTTGTGGTTTATGACGCACTTGTTGAAATGGTCAAAAGTTTCAAGAATCTATTCTTAATCCCAGACTGCAATTAAAGTCTTGTTGCATATACAAGAAAAGTTCAAATAAATCTACTATGTACTTTATCCTCTATCATTGGCTGACAGGCTATTCATATATAAATAACATTTTAGGCAATTTATCACTTTTCTGGTTTTATAATCACATATATTTCAAACATCTGAAAAATATGAATCCTCAGTATACAGCAGTCAGAACGCCTCAGATTATTATAACAGGAGACACAAAGTGATTATTACCAATGAGGGCAAATGTATAAGGCTTTGTATGGGATGGAGAGGGTTAATAAACAGGACAGATAGAGAGAATGGAGAGGATACAGGGAAAGTTTTGTTGTACTATCTTCAAAGTCTTTATTGTCATGCTGTCTCTGACCAGAGGGCCCAGTTTAATGAAGCAGTTCATCTTGTTTTCTCTCACCCTCTGTTCACATCTCCCCAAATGACTCTCCTCCATTCCTTTGCCATCCTCTATCTCTCTCTCCTTCTCTGTTCTCTGTGTCCTCCCTCTCCGTTTGTGTTCATCTGCCCCCTTTTTCCTATCTTGTCACTACTGTTTCATGTTTTGACGGCTCTTTTCGCTCTCCCTTCACCCTCGTCTCACCCCGCTTCCCATCTCTCTGTTTTCCTATCTCCCCCAGGTGGATTATCGCACGGAGGACGGTACAGCAAACGCAGGTTCAGATTATGAGTTTGCGGAGGGAACACTGCTGTTCAAACCAGGAGAGACCCTCAAAGGTAAAACAAATAACAGTGATACAATACTTTCTGGCATATTTTCAAAAAACCCACCCTGACACTTAGGCTTAAATAGCGGAGGTCATCTGCAGCACCTTTGGCAAACTTTTCCACTGGCTTTGACAAAAATATGATTTTAAAGTTTACTGTTGGAATAACTTTGCATAAAAAGGAGTAGCATGAACTAATCACAACATTAATCCACATCCAGAGATCACAGTCGGCGTGATTGACGACGACATCTTCGAGGAGGACGAGTATTTCTACGTCCACCTCAGTAACCCTCGAGTGGTTGGTTATCCTGAGATTGGCACCGCCCCGCTGGATGCCAGTGCCACCCCCAAAGCCGTGATGGGTGACAACCACACAGCAACAGTGACCATCTACGATGACGATCACGCAGGTGAGAGAGATCCCTAAATAATCAAACAGGAGTTGTCTACCTGGACGTAACCACTAACACACAATACTTTATATTTTGTACTTAACTCTTCCTTACAAAGAAAGTGAGTTCGAATTTCAGTTTGGCTTTAATGTTTATTTCTGTTTGTCTTTTACCTTCTGTGCAAGTTTAAAGATGAGAAACAAAGAAGTGTCTGCGCACCATGTGCTTAATGTTGAATCCATGTAGGTCTATTGCTTTGCGACATAGTCCCAGGATATCCTCAAAAACGTATCACAAAGAGTTCCAGTCCCTCAGTGTCGACATTTTTGCAGGTACTGGAGTTTGCTATTAAATTAAAGTGGGAGTGGGTGGTAATCTATTATCCATTACATTATATATATATATATATATATATATATGGTACACATTGGAGAACAAGCTAGTGAGTGAGAGCGTAGGTGTTTATCAACCCCATCTTTCATGTCTTTCTAGCGTTTCTCCCCTGTGAAATAATGTACTTTCTTTCTTTCACAGGCATCTTTACCTTTGAGACCGCCACTCAGAAGGTGAGCGAGAGCGTGGGTGTGATGGAGTTGAAAGTGCTCAGGACTTCGGGGGCCCGAGGCCTGGTAGCCGTCCCCTACCGAACCGTGGATGCCACCGCCAAAGCAGGGGAGGACTACGAAGTCTCCGCTGGCAAGCTGGAATTTCAGAACGACGAGACCATGTAAGTACAGACATTTTGTCAATATTCGTGATTTAATTAACCCAGTCACAAGTTCTCATCACTTACTGGGGCACTTGACCAATGGCCCAGTATAACAAACCCACCCAGAATATTCCTTTTATTCATCAAAAAATATGTTTTTGTTGCATTAAAAGGTGACATTATTTCTGGAATGCCAAAGACACATTGCTCTTTCTCTGTTTCCTTTCTGTGTGATCGACTCCCGTTCAGAAATGGCTGTTTAGGTTAATTGAGTGTTAAAAATGCGTTCGTAGTATAAATAGCTCTATAAGGCAGATAACAGCGTAATTATGCCACTTTTCAAGGTAGGCTACTCTGCATTAAAATGCTTTCTCACATATTCACGCACATGTACACACATACACACACACACACACACACACACACACAACTGCTCTTGTGTCCTTGGGCACATGCATTTTTAATATGCTGACGTTAGCGGTGGTAAATTGACCAATACATAAAGCAGTTGGGAATGCAGTTTCCTCAGCGCCTCCTGGGGCCTGTGAAGCAAGTACTCTGTGTTTGTGTGTGTGTGTGTGTGCGTGTGTGGTTTTGTTCTTGTATCTGTACGAGGACCATTTTGAAGAACGAGGACATTCATGCATAGTGAGGACATTTCCGCTGGTTGCCACTTCCTCAAGGTGCTGTTTGACTGACAAGGTTAGACGTACGTAGGTTAGGGTTAGGCTTGAACAGCAGTTAGTGCTCAAGTGTTATGACATGGGGAGTGTCGACGTAGTTATGTCACTGAGCATCCTCACTCACTCAAGTGTAATGATGTAAATGTGTGTGTGGTCCATCTAGGGGGCTCGAATTTTGGCAAGGCCACTCAAAAGCTGTTCATCTGTGAGTGAGTGAAAGACTGAGAAGATGGTGTGTGTGTGTGTGTGTGTGTGTGTGTGTGTGTGTGTGTGTGTGTGTGTGTGTGTGTCTACCTGTGTGTGTGTGCTCTTGAACTGGAAACAATTTTAGTTTTTGACCTGAGAGTAAAGTCATTTTGTAGGGTTTTAATTGCCTTTATTAGTGCAACTGAATGACAGGAAATGGGGAGATCGAGGGGATGAAACGCAGCAAAGGGCCACAGGTCAGAATTGAACCCGGGCCGCTGCTAAGGCCCACTTGGAGCGCACGCCCTACTGGGTGAGCCTGAAGTCAACCTGTGAGTGAGGACATTTTTGTCTTCAAAGACATATACTGTAATTGTGATCAAGGCTTCGGGGCTAGGGAGGGCATGATGTCAATGAGGGTCCTCACACGTATAGCAGTACAAATGTGTGTGTGTGTGTGTGTGTGCTGACACCAGCCGGCCTCTGCGTGTGAGCGCCACTATAAGGGCAGGGTGTGTTTGCATGTGTGTTTCTGTGAGAGGATGTACCGTCAATGACGCAATCACTGCTTATAAAGCTCTGTCGCAAGTGAGCTGTGGGGTTATGAAGGGGTGAGAGAAGAGTGAGGGAGAACTAAAGAGGGCCAGGGGAGAGATGGAGGGATAAGAGAGATAGACTCCATGTCCTCTGTTGCTGCTGTGTCAGTACAGAAACTAAAGAGAAGGCTGATGCCAATGGAGTTAAGATGCTGTTGGAGCATTTGCTACAAGAGGATTAGAGAGATCAGTGGGTGAAGTATTTTTTTTTAGAGATTGTAACTCTGTGGGTCAAGATTAAACAATAAAGCAACAATAAGCATCTTCCTCCATGGGTGTGCATTAACAGTGCAAGGCTTCACAAAGAGTCTGAGAATAATGCTGACAGTTTTAATAGGTCAAAGTCTCATGTTTTGATTCGGACGAATCCACTTCTAGCTTGCAGTATGCATTAATCTGAGCTACGAAGTATATATTCTACAATAAACGTTTGTTACAAAATGGTTTAAACTGATTTAAAATACTTCTTGAAAACAGGTAAAACTTGAAATGACCAACACACAAATTATTGCGCATCTGCGTTTTACATGTTTTTTTTATAGTTACTCCAGTGGGGCATTTCAGTTTGTGCTATTTGTTCTTTTTTAATGAAAAATCTCTTTAAATTAAATATGATTGTGCCTTGTCAGCAGTAATAATGTCAGAGATTCTTTGGCATTCTAGTTGTGTCTTGCTCTTTTTAAAGGCTTTTTGAGAAAATGTACAAACCAGAGAAAGGACTCGTGCAAATAGGCTGCGCTCTCTCATAATGTCCCTCCCCGTCTTTATTTTTTCATGTCTTTTCTCGCTGCTACCCCTCTGTGTGTTTCCTCTCCTCTTTTCAACATTGTGTCTTTGAGCCCCTTGTCAAAAATGTCCCACTAATGTAACCCTGCCTTTATCCGCTGCATTCGTTTGTGTCTTTCTTCCCTCCATCTGCCCTTTTCTCTCTCTTTTCTGTCTTTGCCTCATAACATGTCTACTCTTGATTGACCTTGGATTTGCTCCGTATCATTATTTCTTTCTTTTCTTTCTTTCTTGTTCCCGTCTCAGTTCCCGTCTCTCCCCCAGCCCTCACATTCTGTCTGCTATATATTTAGATTTTCTTCCACGCTGGATGAGTTTTATCATCCCCCTCCTCTCCTCCTCCCTCGTTTCCTCCCTTCTTCACCTTCTCCTCTACCCACACCTCCCTGTCATCTCATGTCTCTCCTCCCTCCCATTTCACCCACTCCTGTTCACCCTTGATTCCTCTTCATTTGCATCTTCCTCCCCTCCGCCTCTCTCCTTTTTTATTTACACTGTCAGACTTCCTCTTTTATTCTCCCTGTGTAACCTTATTCCTTGTTTTACGGGACTCGACGCCCTTGTCTTGCTCCACTGTCTCTTTCTCAGCTCCTGTCTTCTCTCCTCCGGTCTTATTTCATGAAGAATGGGTGAGCCAGGTGCTGCTTAAAATTCTCAGGGAAAACCTAAAAGGCATTGGAGCTGAACTGACAAGAGGAGAGGAGAGGAAAAGAGTGTCAAGAAGGAAGATAAGAATTTCATGAGCTCTAATTTATACAAACTAATGTGATTCCACAAAGAAAATTCCCTTTTCTCCTTCATCAGAGGTCAGAGGTCAGGTTTCAACTGAATGCTTCTTCTTCAGCAAGGTGGATGATTGCTGAAATATGTTTAAAGGGACACTTCACCAAATTTAATGTCAGTTTACTTGTCATGAAGAGTACTAAGCCTGGGAAAACTAGAGTTGTTCTCATACCGATACTAGTATCTGAAATGCCTCCGATACACCCTAGAATGTTGCACCGTACATCCGATCCGTACATCCTGCCTGATCGGTACTGCAAATGGTCCAACTATTATAACACACCAGTGGTTTAAAACTCCTGTCTACTCTATTTTTCCCGTGATAAGGCTACTTTGAGAACAACAAATCCATTTGTCAAGTCAGAAGACATAAACCCTGGGTTATCTCAGTTTAGAGATTACACATTTATAACAGAAAGCCAGCTTTCATGCCATTTGAGAGAGATGTGAGCATTTACCTGGGAAGATGTAACTAAAGACACTGCTCTGTTGAATTATTGGAAATGTAGGAACCATCATTTTTATAGCTCGACCCATACTTGTGACTAAAAGTCAGGATATTTCATTCTTTGCGGCATTGACTTTGAAGATTATTTTTTAAAACCTCCTTTGGCTCCCCCAGCTTTATGGAAGTGCGACATTAAATTGCTGGAGGCCCCAAGTTTCAAAGGGTAAATTTCCGACTTCTTGCCAACCAAGAGGCCACCCTGCCATCCAAATGATTGGGGAAATAGCATAGATGGATAAGGCATGAATAGTAGCAGAAAGGCATTCCAGAGAAAATGTGTTTTCATATGCAAGTCACGAAGGGAAAAGGGAAAGAAACGTAGAGTGAAAGATGGAAGGAGGAGAACATAAAGAGGGATGTCTTTGTTACTTAATAATGAACCGAGGACAGAAGTGATGGTGAAAGGCACTGAAAGAATGACGTGAATATGTAAGTGTGTTAATGTCAGAATATTCTCTCACTTGAGTGGAATGTATTTGGTGTTACTCAGTTGGAAGTCACACAAACACATATATACAGCACAGTAAATATAAATGTATTCACTCTATGAACTCTGTTCAGCCAATGCTTCTTTTATCTATCCTCTCTTGTTCACCAATACTCTCTCCTGGTTGTTTTTTAGTCTCCATTTGTCTGCAGCTCTCTGCCTTCTTTCTCTCTGTCTCGTTCTTTTTGTTAAGAGGTCATGTGTGTGAGCCAAAGTTAAATGTGTGTGTGTGTGTGTGTGTGTGTGTGTGTGTGTGTGTGTGTGTGT